ATGAATCTCCTCCAGATAAAAGGCATCAGAAATTCTGCTTGTCTCCCTAAAGCGTCGCTTTAAAACATCCGAGTTCAGCTTTGGCTTGTTTTTCTACCGTGTCCTAGAATAGACATTGAAAACTGTTGTTGTCAATGAGCTGAGGTCAGAGGTCAAACTACCCGAGTGTCTACCAGCTGGCAGGCCCAGACTGCTGAAAATCACCTGATTCTGATCACAAGATTTTCTGCTTTTGGTTTAGAGAAGAGTTGGAGGTCGACTCAGATCATACTTCCTCCCCAACCGTGCCTGACAGTTTGCGTGAGATTTGATGTTCCATTTATCATTAAACTCCGCCCCCTAAATGGTTCGGGACAATCAGGAAGCAATATTCTGATTTACTGAACAGAAAGGCTGATGGTCACACTGAAGAACAAACAGCAACATTTAGAAAAACTTTATTTAAAAAAAAAAAAAGACCAAATAGAGATAACAGACAATGTTCTTAGAGACAGAAGGTCCCGGGTGTCTTAGCTCTCTGCCGGTGGCGGAGCGGCCTGGCGAACGGCCTTCATTAAGGCCTGCTGGACCACAGGATACAGTTTATAGCAGCCCTCGATGCAGGTCCGAATCCCTGCAGTCAGAGTCTCCTCCGCCATCTCACCGTCTGACTGCAGCCCAGAAACCTGGTTCAGACTCGGCAGGAAGGCCACCGTCAAGCCGCCCCGCTTCTCCCCGCCGCCCGACTTCCAGCTGTTTTCCTCTGGGTACGTGGGGTCCACCACGTAGGAGGCGCCGTCCTGACGGAGGGAACAGCCCAGCACAAGGTCGTACATCTCAATCCCGGCGTCTGCCAGTGCCATGGAAGCACAGGTGACAGCGTGGGCCAGGACCGAGCCGCTGTTCTCCAGAACCATGACGTTGACCTCTATCTGAGAGCGCGGGTATCTGTGCAGGCAGACGGCCGGCTGCAGACTCTCCTGCAGCATCAGAGAGAAGTCCTTGTCCTGGCTGCCCTGGATCCAGGAGCCGCGCTCCGGGCAGGAGAACGGGGCGAAGCGCATGTCGGTGGTCAGTCTGAGGCACAGAAATACACAGAGCTGTTTTAAAAAGCCAAAATTACATGAACTACAGGAGCAGACAGAGGAGCTGTACGCACCACCAACCCACCTGAACGCACCACCAACC